CCATAGCATGAAGACATTCATTCGTTAAGTCATGCAATGTTGTTTCAGTTGAATGCAATGGTCTAAGCCCCGATTGGCAGCGAGGAATAAGATTATTTCCATTATGGAATGAATAAACAGCCGAGTGCACCCATCTTTCTAAAATCTGTGAAATAATTGAAAGTGTTGAAATGGGCCTATAATTGCTAGTATTGCATTTGTCTCCTCCTTTGTGAATCGGTGTGACTAATGCATGTTTCCAATCTGAGGGATACTGTTCACATTTAATTGAGAGGTTCAATACGTGCGTTAATGATTTAATAATGTACGGAGACGCAAGCTTTAGCATTTTTACACTAACGCCATCCGGACCAGTTTTTTTGCAAGGCGACATTGATGTGATTTGTTTTCGAACAAAATCTTCCGTGATTTTATGCAGAGTACATTGCTGAATTGGTTCAGAATAAGAGAAATGGGCATTGCCCATTTCAATTTCGCGCGTGACGTCGTCACTACTTGCCATACGTCCTCCAATAGTGGAGAAATGCTCATTAAATATATCAGCAATTTCGGCATGATTTTTTACATTTTTTCCATTTTTGGAAGTGATTGAGCTTGGAACCGATTTCGGTTTATTCCACAGCATGGAAGAGTCTCCTTTGTTAGTTTCAATCGCTTATGTGAAATACTCCTTTTTCTTTTTACGGATGCTGTTGGTTACGGTATTCCGTATTTTTTGTATGCGTCCCAATCATCTTCAGAATTAGATTGTTTTGCAATTTCATGAGTGTGATCGTGTTGACGCATAAGTCGGGTAATTTTAACATCAAGCCAAGGTAAAGAGGTGCTTCGAACGCGTTTGGATTTTATCGGAGCGTGATAGTTAATGACATCCATAAATAGGGAGTGCCATAGACCCCATGCTTTCTCAACCCTGTGATAGGTTAGAACATTTTCCCATGGAACATTCAGGAGATCGCGTTGGAAAGTTTCATTATCTAAGTTGTTAAAAAATCTAAAATTAACATAGCGACTTTAGTTTTTAGGGATTTTCCAATTTTGTATACCGTACACCAAGGAGTGGTCACTAATGAGTACAGGTAAGACACCACTTTCATGTATTACCTCAGGCTTCGAGCTAAAAATAAGATCGATCGTGGTTTGGGTGGAATTTGTGACGCGGGTTGGGTCGTGTATGAGTTGCGTCATTTCAAACAAATCGAAGCATGTGGATAAAAGATTGGTACTATTTTTTACTCTGAATGGACATGTAATCAACTCAACCTTAGACTCGTGAATCTATGATTCATTCAAAATGTATACGTTGTTATAAAAGTATCTTCTATGCTAATTTCATTACATTTTAGACGTTAATATACGCCACTTTCGACTCCGCTTAATGCATTAACATAGCCTTTTGCCTTTGTGTAGAAATTTATACACTCTTGGCGAAATTGTGATGATGTCATCTTTGGTGTTGCAGTTAGATTGCTCTAGTGGGATGTTGCATAACTGTACATAAGACTTAATGAATGATATATATTTTCTGGATGGAATTCGTTTATATTTTATGTTTACTTTATACCAAGAAAAACACATTTCATGTATTTTTGTACATGATTGAATAAACTGAGCCTTGAAACTTAAACCCTTGTTTGTTTGAAATAAATGAAGTACTCACCTACTGGTGCCAAACATTTCCGAAACAATTTACGGATCAGCTGAACACGCGTAATATGGACATTTATTGCTTTATTTCAAACAAATATTTTTGTGGTCGGGCCTCCTTTTGCTGTGTATGAACATTCGTGTAGTGTAAAACACTTTCTATCGCTCAAACAACAGTAAACTTACTGTTCAGTAGAAGACACCCAAAACTAGAAAGTTAAAGTATAGAACTCACGAATGTTTTATATGGACTCGCACACGTCTGCTATACAATATCCAAATCAAACGTATTACACAACCGAACGAAAAAATTAGAAAGAAGCGGATTTCAACTGATTTGTGTAGGGATATATACCAGGATACACAAAAAAAAGTTAGGTGGGCTTTGGGATGGTGAACATTTTTTATGAGGGGTCAAATGTCATTAATCCCGGTCTAAAATACTAAAAAATGCATCTCCCGAACACGCTATAGTATATGGTGGATCTTGGTGTCAAAATGCACAGAATTATAAAACAAATAAAAAACAACTAATATTGAAAGCCTTCATAATCAATTCATGACCTTGAAAAATTAGGTCAAAATGTCAAAAATTTTATTTTTAGTCACTTAACTGGCATATATCATTAAAAATATTACAATGAATGTGATTTCAACTGACTTGTGTAGGAGTACATACTAGGATAACACCAAAACAAAGTTAGGGGTATAGGAGAGTGGGGAAATTACGTTTTTGGGGTTAAAGGTCATTGACCCAATCTAAAACACTAAAAAATGTATCTTGGGAAGACTCTATGATATATGGTTCATTTTGGTGTCAAAATGCACAGAATAATGCAAAAAGTAAGAAAATATAAAAGGACCCTCATGACCAATGCATCTCCTCAAAAAATTAGGTCAAAGGTCAAAATTTTAGGAATTGAAATTACAAAAATGGCATTCAGTATATGATTTTTTTTTACTCATCATTTTCAAAGCTGGTTTTAAACAGTTGAACATAGAGTATTAGATAAGTATATTGTGAATAGAAATAGAAATTACAGCTTAAACTTACTGTAACTATAGATTAATTAATTAATTAATTTTTTCAGGTGAACAGTTACAACAAATAATAATGAACAGTAAAACAGTACAAAAAGAAGTCAAATTAATACCAGGGGGGAAAACAATATAGTGAACTTAATCACTTTCGAGATCATCCAGGCATTAATTGACAAAACTTAAATAAACACTTAACACGAATAACATTGTATATTAATTGAATTTAAAAATAGACAAAAGAGATCATGTAGCTCCCATACCCAAACCCAAAGGGGCACATGCATTAATGAGAATCAGCGATCACCAGGGGCAACAATGCCTACCATGATCAGGCAGACACCGCTGTCCGTGACATCAAACCCACAGCACCCCTGTTCCATGATCCATCAGGAATCCCAGTTTTAATGCAGCTACACCTCATGGTTTGGCATTGCCTCTCCACTTCCTGGCAGTTGCAGCAAATTCCTTTTAGAAGTCTGTCTGGAGCAACACCACAGGTAAGCATCTTTGGTTCAAGTTTCCTATTGGAATCAATCTCCCATCCCTTCCAATGAGTTCAAGAATGGAAGTGTTTAGATGTTTCCAAACTATAACCTGATAATGCACACGAAGGGAATGCTGTGCTGTTGCATTTTCTGTTGATGTTAATCGATCTGGATCAATTTTGCCACTAGCTGCTTGCTTCTGAAACTTCAGATAATGAACCCTTTCAAGAGGATTATCCCCACACCCATATGTTATCTGCATTGCTTTAATTCCAGCTTTTCGGATTGTGGATTCAGTAGACTTGAAACTTGTAAATGCTGTTATAACACTATTAGGGTAGTTGCATTTGTAAAGAGCACATTTGGTATGTCCAAAAATGCTGGAAACGGTGTCATTTCCAGACCAGCCGTACTTTAAGAGAAGCTCTTCCCTGTTTGCAATGTTTATAGTAGATATGTCATACAGGCAATCAACGTTAGATTGAAGCAGTTGCTTGGCCGATGGTAGCAGAGTAAAACTAATATACCCGTGTCTTGGGCGAGAACAACAACTGGAACCTGGACGCTTGAGACCAAGTCTATTGCAGTCTTTGACAATGAGCGTGTCAAGTGGTAGGTATTGTTGCTCCTGGTGATCGCTGATTCTCATTCATGCATGTGCCCCTTTGGTTTTGGGTATGGGAGCTCCAAAATCCATGACCTCTTTTGTCTATTTTTAAATTCAATTAATATACTTATGTAATACTCTATGTTCAACTGTTTCAAATCACATTCATTGTACTATTTTAAAATGATATATGCCAATTTAGTGACTAAAAATACAATTATTGACAATTTGACATTTGACCAAATTTTTCAAGTTCATGAATTGATTATGAAGGCTTTCAATATTAGTTTATTTATTTGTTGTAAAATTCTGTGCATTTTGACACCAAGATCAACAATATACCATAGAATGTTCCAGAGATACATTTTTTAGTATTTTAAACCGGGGTCAATGACCTTCGACCCCTCATACAAAATTTCCCCCACCCCCTAGCCCACCTAACTTTTTTTTTTGGTGTAACCTGGTATGTATCCCTACACAAATCAGTTAAAATCAGCTTCTTTCTAATTTTTTCACAGATTGGCCCAAATTTTGGTTAATTTTGGGCTCCACTAAAAGTTAAATAATCCGATTGAAAAAAGAGTTAAATTCGCAAACATTTACTATGAATCAAATTAAAGGCATGTACGTCGCTATTGTATCTACACTAGTAAAATCCAATGTCTGTTTAGCCTGGTTCTCACGAAAGCCCTAGTATCCGGATCGGGAGTTAACCGTTAGCGCTAACCGTTAGCACCGGCGTTAGACTTGCCACAATTCTCTAATTATAGGTTTTCATAGTATTAGCTAATTTTGGAGAGCGTCACCAGCGACGGTATATATCGAGAAACTTTTATGCGAATTAATGCCAACTCAGACAGCGTCGGCCGACGTAGCCCGACCCGATTTATCGTCGGGGACAGTCTTAAGCCGTCGTGAGAAATATTAAACATGTTTAATGTTCTACGACGCGGCTGCGTGAGAACGCCCGATCGGTTAGCGCTAACTGTTGGCGGTATTCGGATACGCTAACGGTTAGCAAGCGCTATCAAAGATCTTTGGCGCTATCGGTTAGCAAGTTGAGGGCGTTTCTATCATCAACTAATCACACGTACGCGTTTACAATTTCCAGTTTCTTATTGGCCAGTGATTCGCTCATCATATTGTTGGTATCCGGATCGGGATTTTCTCGCATGGACGCACGGCAGCTAACGGTTAGCAGGATCAGGATCCTGCTAACCGTTAGCTGCCGTGTGAGAACATAGCCACTAAGTGTTGAGGTATGTTTAATGAATCATTCTATTAATGCTATATCGTTAATAATTTGATAATGTATTATAGTTGATTTATTCTTGATTCGAGCCCCAAAATTAAGTAGTCATTTCCCGTGTTTGAATCGGAAGAATGCTGTTATTTGTGATGGGACGCCACACATGGGCGGCGGAAGCGGTCCGGCAGGTCAGATCCATACTTCTACCATTAGAAACGCTGATTTACTGCTAAACAGCTGCACATCTTAAAAAAAAACCCGTTAAAAATGGAAACTTAACTGTCAAGACTAACATAAAGAATGTAGCGCATGTGTTTCAATTACTCAACGATGTGGCGGTACACTGCGTCTTGAGTGGGTCTTCAGGAGGTCTTGCAGGATAATACATTGAAGATGTGTATAAGAGACAGGTCCGTGACATTTACAGATGTAATGTCCGTGACGCTACGTAATCCATATTATATAATGAAAATATTTTACATTTTCTATTTTTCACTCCTGATAAAGACCTCTCATATATATATATATATATAGGAAAATCAGAAGTAGCTGCTTGACAAAGTGTAGATATATATCAAATAAAACTCAGGAACAAGGTATATATTTGCCAAATTTTAATACAGAAGATGCACAAACGTTTTCGGCCATAGGCCTTCATCAGGTGATGGTAATTTCACTGTTCCCTGATACCAAGCCACAACATTCGGGAACGTTGTGAGAACGTTTAGTGTTTGCTGGGAGGGTGTAATAAAAATAAATATATAAAATTTTATTTTTATGAAATTTTCATTTTTTTTGTTACGGAGGGTGTGCTAAATGGCCAAAAATAAAAGTATACTTTTTTAATCAGCATTTTTGGCTGTAGGAGAGTTCGCTTATTAAGGTATTAAGAAGTATCGCCTAATGTGTCTTAATTATTGATTATTGTCTTAAATTAACATCGAACCATAAAAAAAAAAATCGTCAACAATTTTAGAAACATCCTAGAGTAGTGGTTGCGCCAGTGGAGACACAGGACGTACACGACCTATCAATACACACTTGTAGAGGAGGCAGCCAAACCGGACTTCGCCCCTACCCTGTCCCAGTGATTTTTATGATATTTTTTTGTTATTTTCTTTGAACAATACATTCTTTCTCATACGGCAATACGTACGTGGGCGGCAATCACAACACTCGACCACGATAGAGTCACTCTCAGACAGGCTTATCTTCATTTGACTTCTACGAGTGGATACCTTGGAAGTAAGAAATCAAGTTGGCTTTACCCAGTACCGTTCGTGTATATTCATCGGCGGGAAATTTTCCTTACAGATTGAATTTGAATAAATGTGTACCTTGATTTAATGGATATACTGGATAATAATAATAATAATAATAATAATAATAATAATAATAATAATAATAATAGGTAGGCCTAAACACTTTTTATTCAATTCAATTCAACGTAACATTTATTTATCCGATCCTTTTTTCATATATGTACAGCTTTTAAATAAAAAATGTAAATATTAATTTCAGATACACACCAATTTAAAATTAAGCAAGTTTGAAAATTGAATTAATCCTAATATATACATAGTCACTCAGTTCGCCCAGAATTATATTATTCATTTATTCATAGAGATTAAGATCCTTGAAAAATAAAATATCGAAATAGAATTTACGATTTGTTATATCGAAGATTATTAGATTATCAAATAACTTAATGTAGCTTCAAGTGTAGTATTATTTCGAATTTCATGTATGTTAAGCTAATAAGGATTGTTTATCACCACAGTAGCTTTCAATCCGCATTCTCAGACCATCTTCAGCAGAAAGAATGACATTGGCAAGTAGCCAATGTCTACGTCACCGATGATGTAATGGTGACGGGTGCGCTCCGCAATGTGCGCTGAGCGTACCCGTCGTAATGTAATTCGACAGGCAAATTACAGTAATATTTTTAGCAAATTTCTTTGAAAAAAATATCGTAGGCATAGGGCCTAGCTTCGTATACAGTATTTTCATTTTACAGTACGTAGTTTGGAACGATATCGGAAGTGGAGGTGCTGGCAGTGGCCTGCTATTAGGACTACAATTTATTTTAAAATATCTTGGGTCCGATCGTCCACACCAGTTGGGCCCAATCGCCTATCACCCGAAGTTTTCATTACGATTATCAAGAACGTACACGATCTATGCCCTGGGCTAGGCCTAGCTCGCTGTCGTCACTCTGCTACGTACTATACTACACTACAACCGCATAACAAAGAAAGCGACCCACGTGTTGCATTCTTAAATATTACACACATTATTTAATTGTATTAGACGATAACACGATATCATTGATTAATCGATCTAACTAGGCCTACCCTTGCATCGCAGTAATACTGAACTAATACTGTTTTTGTGAAAAGCTAGATAGTCGTTATGTACCCGACAGTCGGCTGCCTTTATATTTTCACCTGTTTTCAGTTTGCATTCAACGGCATTCAAAGGGTACATTGCTGCACAGCCAACTGTCGGGGATATAGTACCTTCATATGACTACTCATACGTATACAACAGAAAAAAACGTCGCATGGACTAAGTGAAAAATGGAGATCTAAATGAAGAAACGGTGTATTTCAGCAAGTATTAAAACATTTTAGTTTTATTTTAGGCCTTCTTCAAAATACCTATGCCTACAGCAGATGATTGTTTTGCCGTAAAACCAAAATAGTTTCATCCATGCCGCCGACATTCCGGTCAGTTAGCGTGAGCCCTGACTGAACTCTGCAGAAACTTCACATCGATCTTCGCATCGCGATGTATTTCAGCAAGTATTAAAATATTTTAGTTTTATTTTAGGCCTTCTTCAAAATACCTATGCCTACAGCAGATGATTTTTTTGCCGTAAAACCAAAACTTTTCTTTGACGCATGCGCATTTGCATAAATGTCTACACACACATACACACTACACACAATAAAAAACATAGGAAATAGCAAGAGTGATTACAATAGTTCCTATTGCATTACATGCATAGGAACTAATAAATACAAAAATTATCAAAAAAAAAAAAAAAAGAAAAAGAAAACAGTAGACGATTTATTACCTAATGAAACAGAATCCCCCTCTAAACTATATTGCAACTTATTATCAATGTTTGCTGTTAAATACAAGTTCCATGTGTCATAATCGTTAGAAAGCATAAGTTTGTTTAAACACATCCGCGTTGCCATTCACAATAACCGTAGGCCCATTGGAAAATTGCCAGAAAGCCCTATACAGTAATACGCACATGTGTTCCCAATATCACAAGGGCTACATACTTTTCACAGTCTTATTATTATTAACTTATTTATTTATTAAGTTTATTATATATAGTTTTTTCAGATATATAAATTACAATCGACAACGAACAGCAGAATTTGATTGCATTACAATATAAAAAACATATAAATACGTCATTTAGGTGAAAAAAGAAGACATTGATTGCGACACTGTACATTAAAATTGAAAATTACCAAAAGAAAACTAAAGAGTTGCAAATAAAATAGTTATTGTTTGCTATTGAGAAAATATAAATTCTATATATCAAAACAATAAATCCTTATTAAAAGAAAAAAAAATGATTACTGTAAAAGGAATAGCAAAATCATCAGTAGTAAAGCTGTTCATGGTAAGAGTGCGTATTTTTACTTACAGTTTCAAGGGAAACATTCACCGACAGAACTTCTCTGACTGAGATTATTATGTTACTAGAATGTTTATATAGTAACGTTTAGTCAGTATAAAAGTGGATACGCTCCCGTGCATGGAAATTGTATGATGGGTCGCATGGCAATTTTATGATGGGTCACATGGAATTTTAAGATGGATCCGGTAGTATAGCCCCACCCCCGTTCCGCAACCTTTTTAGACCACGACCCAAATTACATGTTAAGTACTCTGAACTCGACCCATCGAACTCGAAGACAATAAATCACGTCCACCGTTTTATATGCGCGAGGGATAGGCCTAGCTGGTATTAGAAGATACTACCCACTTTATTCTTTTGGCAAAAGATACTATCACCCACAAAATCAATTTAATACCCATAAGAAATTAAAAATATAACTTTGAATTACTAATTTAACAAAACTAAGTAAGGTATCAAATTTTTTAATATGTTAAAGGTTTGTAAAAATGAATGATTTGACATTTTACTATACAAGAAATCCTACATTTGCTGCTTGAAATCTGTGGGTGATGTGAAGACATAGACACATTTAGAAAACTTTTCAGCTGAAAGCGAAACACAGTTGAAATGAACAAACTAACACCAGGTTGTCATACCTGAAGTACAAATGTTTTGATAGTGTATTTTTTAACATGAAACTTTGATAACGCACGCATTACACGACGCACATGCCACATTTTAATTGCAGTTTCGTTTACTGTAATTTCGTTTGTCCTCGTTCGTATTAAGTAAGGTTTTCACGATATGAAAATTTTATGCTACCCATCAAAAGTTTTCCACGACCCAAGCATTGGGTCGCGACCCATAGGTTGCGGAACGATGGTATAGCCTATATTCTTTTTCATGTCAATCTGGATTACGTGATATCCTGTTAGATCTTAAAGCAAAGAATGTGTCATTTAATTGGCTCTTCTCCAGTAGGATACATTTTTTACACTTTTATTATAATAAATATTATAAGTCAATCGTGACGTCATCACTGCAACTCCAATGTCATTTGCCTATCCCCCACAGTCCACTAATTTATATATATGATAAATTGAAATAATAAAGATATTTTGAAACATAAACAAACATACATACACACATACACCAATACATACATGCATACATACAAACAAACATACATACCTGCTCAATATTTTTTTTAAATAAATCCAGTAAAGTTATAATACAGATTTTGAAAAGTAAATGAACTATATTCCAATATTTGAATATCAACATTGATATAAATATTAAGTTTCTTGGATTTTGCCTCGTCTTGTCAAGCCTTAAATATTTGCAATCCTATCCTTTATATTGTATTTGTTATGTTTGTTATACTTAGTGAATAAAGCGATTTACATATACTAATTAATACAGTATGTAATCCTGGTCGAATTAAAGGATTTGTAGAATTCCACTTCGTAATAGTAATACTTTCGAATTCTTTAATGATTTTGCGTTGAAATTTTATTTACTCAGTTAAACTGCAAAAGTACCACCCAGGAATTGATCACTCATTTGTCCGGCAAAATAACCAGCTCAGCGTGAAATCAGTAGAACTTAATGGAATTTGCATAGGCCCAACACCAGGACAACTTTTGGTACGATAATTATTTTTAGGAAAAGCTCTTTTGATGGCCTTAACCAAAGAGTTAGTTTCTTGCTAAAAAATGGCTGTAAAGTAAAAGTAAATCCACAATTAAACGAATTTTCAATATTGACTGCATATATATAATATATATATATAATATATATATATATATATACATATATATATATATAGATATATATATATAAAAAGAT